CCCCCCCCCCCCCCCATCATCTTAGTCGCGTCTTACAAACATGTAGTGAGATGCAGCATACCTATTCGTTCCCCCAACCTACATGGGTTGATATAAAACAGATGAACTTATTCAAGACAAACACAAAAATTAACATTTAAAGTGGCTATGCTTTTTGGAACAGACCAACAACTTTTAGATAGTTTTCGATTATAAATATATCTATTGGTATTGGAACTCATGTGCCATTATTTTATTGCTATCTAGGTAGATATATGTATCATGTCGCAATCAAGATACTTTGGAGGAGGATACGTACATTGTATGGTTTTATTCAAATGAGTTCAGTGTCAAATTAACATTGAAATAATCTTTAAACGGGGTTAGCGTCCTCGCAACAGCCAAGGCAATATATGTACAAAGACGTTTGCATAGGACGACACCAGTAGCTATTAAGGAAAAATAGAAAAAAATGTTGCAATGTAGGCAGCGGCTGAAATCTGGGCTTTCCAATGTCCTCTTTGTAGAGAGCAGAGTAGAATATCCCTAATTCTGTATTGGATCCACATTAGCCACCTTCTACTATACACACGCAGAGGCAAAATGCAGGACTTTGCTTGTCCCTAAAGCAGGCACTAAAGACCCCTTAAAGATCATGCTGTAAGAAAAAGCAGGACTGTTTTTCCCGAACATGTTGGGGCTGACATATACAGTGTGGCTGTTGCTTATTTTGAGGATGGGGCGCTAGTGTCCAAACGATGATGTTATGCTAGTTAAAGGCTATAAACTCCAACTACTTTTGAAAAGTTTTGGTATGAAAGACATTTTGGAATAGTGAATCAGACATTGTGTAAAAAAAGTGTAAAATAACCTTTGTTCGGGAAAGACGTGGCCCTAAACGGGTAAATATTTGCAATATCAAGTTTCGACGATAACGATGTAGGCCCTGTTAAGAGTGATTGTGGTTGTTAAATGTGTGTCATCACTCATCATATACGAACCTTTTATTTACTGTATCATTATCTTTGACAATGCAGCTTTGCTGATGTGAATATGCATACATTTATATATCTACGTCTGAGAATAAAACATTTTTTTTCTCGTTTTCATTATAGTAAGATCTAAATAATAACAAGAGGTCCTTTGGACCTGTATCGCACACCTGGTTTTATATATACGTCATTACAACTCAATACATTAGTACATCTTTATATGAAATTTCCTCAAAACCAGACAAGATCTATGTTCTTACCCAACTGGGACCACAATATCTGACTTTCAACTAATCAGGGGCTTCCATTGAGTTGCTATGTTAACAGATTTTGAAATAAGTAATATGTCATATTACAGGCAATACTTATATTTTCATTTAACTATAAGCTTTTATAAACCTAGAAACTAATTCTCAACAATTTATGAAAACTACACCATATAATATGATAATCTAGCTGTACCATTTTTTAGGACCGCAGGGGTCAAATCAACCTCATTCAATTAAGAAATGTTTGTTCTTCCTCAATAATGTTTTTGACCAAATTTTGTACAATCCACTCGGGCAATTAGGGGAAATTAGCGTTTTAAAGCAAATTTAGCTAAGTTCCCCTTCAGGGCCCCACCCCCTGGCCTCAGGGGTCGAACCAACCTCATTTATTTAAGAAATGATTGCCCTTCCCTACTGATGCCTCGGACTAAATTTAGTTGAAATCCTCTCTGGCGTTTAGCAGGAGATGCGTTTTAAAGCAAATTTAGCTAAGTTCCCCTTCAGGGCCCACCCCCCTGGCTTCAGGGGCCGAACCGACCTCATTTATTTAAGAAACGACTGCCCTTCCCTATGGATGCTTCAGACTAAATTTAGTTGAAATCCTCTTTGGCGTTGGGGAGGAGGTAGGTTTTAAAGATAAAATTGACGACGGGCGACGGACGACGGACGCTGCGCCACGGCATAAGCTCACTATGGTCCTTCGAACCAGGTGAGCTAATAAAAACGATTGATTGATTGGTTGATATCAATTCATTGTTAACACACAAACCATGCAGCATCTGGTAGGTCTACCGGCATTACATTTTTATAACGTTAATGTTCGTGTATCAAATCAGGGAAACGGACTGCTATATAAATATTGTACAGAAAGACTTTTATTCACACTAGCTATAGACATCATGGTACAGTACCTTTCTATGTCATTACATCTGTTTTGATATCTAAAATAACCGCCATCCAGAAAATGTAGACCTTGCGAGCTCATTACTTTTTATAATTCCTGTACTCTTTGAACGAATGTAAACATGGTTGTCTTTTTCTACTCTTGTTACTACGAGACCTGTTGCAGATTCCCAGTTCCGCAAATCGCTGTCCGCATTTGTAGATCCCTTAACCTGCCCATCAATACGTAATTCTGTTATCATATTACCTCCAGAGTTTTCAGCACTTACAATGGACCAAGTAAATACGTATACTCCACTAGCAGGAACTCGGTATCTACCATCCGCATGTTCGTAGCCACTTCCAATGTCAATGTCGGAGTTATCAAACTCGATAGTGTGATCCCTAATGGCCTGAGTGTCTTTATCTAAAGAAAGGCTGAAGGCAATACCTCCTGTTGGTACACTGCTTAACCCCGCTCGACCTGAATATATAAAAAAGTGTAAAGCCTGAAACGAAACCTAATCCTTGTCATTTTGATATGACCTAAGTAGGGTACTGAACAGGATGCCTTCGACGTTACCAAATATATAGATCGGAGAATGAGACAGAAGAAATGTCGAGGTCTGTATCGTTCCATGTATGTTGCCGTATATGAGGGATCTTGACTCCCACAATTGTACCATCTTCATTAGGTCTATGTCGGTCGGTTTTAACTGTTACAAGATGGCTGCCTGTCAGCATCGTGGTTTTGTAATCAGTCCCAAACAATAATATGCATAACTAGGGACCATAGGGAAACTTTCATGTGAAAGTTTAGAAAGATTTATCCAGCGTTTTCTGGGGAAAAGTGGCTACATACTTTAATTATTGAATTAAAGATGGCTGCCTGTCGAAATTAATATGCATAACTAGGGACCATGGGGAAACCTCATGTGAAATGTAAGTAAGATCTCTTCAGTACTTTCTTAGAAATAACACTAACAAACTTTAACTCTAAAATTCAAGATGGCTGCCTGCCCGCCATCTATTCTTTTTTTAGTCAGTCCCAAAAAACGGATATGCATTACTAGGGAACATTGGGAACCTTCATGTGAAAGTTGAGAAAGATCTCTTGAGAACTTTTTAAGAAAATTTGCTAACAAACGTTAGCTCTCAAATAAAAGATGGCTGCCTGTCGGCAATTTTGGTTTTTCAACCATCCCCGTAATTAGCAATGCATTACTAGGGACCATTACGGGTCTTCTTGTTAAATTTGAGAAAGATACCTTCAGTTAGTTCTGAGAAATAGTGCCAAGAAACATCGTCTCTTAAATTCAAGATGGCTGCCTGTCGGCCAGATTTGTTCTGTGATAAGTCCCAAAAAAATTAATATGCATAACTTGGGACCATAGGGAACCTATATATGAAATTTAGGAAAGATCCCTCCAGTTCTATCCAAGAACTTGCGATAACAAGAATTACTTAATGACGGACAACAGACCACGGACGCAGGGTGATTTGAATAGCCTTCTATCTGATGATGGTGGGCTAAAAATACGGAATACAGCTGACTCATTCTTTCTACAAACTACCAAGTTATTCGTGTTATTTCAAGAACCTCATGTTACAAGAAAGAAAATATTTGCTGTATCCAACTATATGTCGTAAAAGTTATGTTAGTGCTAGGCTCCCTGCAAAGTCATGGGCTTTCTTCTGTGTCTTCTGCTAAGAAGCATCGACGATACCAAACTAGAACTGCTGCCCCCGTACAACATTTGGATTTAGTTTAAATTTTCTCTCTATCTTTTTCATTTTTGTTTCTTAACGCCACGCTTAGTAATAGTTCAACGTTGGTGTTAGTGTCAAAAGTGCTGTGTGGAATGCTTTGCAAGGTGCCTTCGGCATGGTATTACATTGACAAGACAATATAAAGTCGGCATCAGATCCGCGCTATCACAAGTAGGGATATACACATGCAAACATACACGACACACTTGAAGGCAATTCCTTAAGTGACCTTATCTGTTGATAGGAGGTTATACCTTTTGCAAACAAATAGCCCAAGTGAAGAAGGTAATGGGTTCTGTCTCAAGGTCAGGACATATCAAAATCCTTTAAATCTCTGCTTATCGTTCGGCATTAGGAAAATAGCAAGAACTGGTTCGTCTGCTCTCAGTATAATGTGACGGCGAGGAATTTCAGTGAGGTAGCACTCTGAAGACACCATTAAATCCGGGCTATCAGAATTACCCAGCACACAAACACACAAGCACAAATGCATTACAGATATGGAGGTATTGATCACCTAATTTAGGTTGCATAAAATTGCAACACATAATGAAATACTATTGATGAGGGCATATATGTCGTTATATGAACATTGAAAAATAGTTATTAACAATGGTGAAGTCGAGATGAATTTGAAACTTCATGTCCTTCTTTGATATATTCATCGAAATAAATATCCTTAATTGTCATAATTCCGACGTTATCATTAAGAATACAGACTTTAGCAAAATACATAACATTAATAGAATAACGGTATTATAGTGAAATGTACTAAACGAAACGCAAGAATGAACTTCTATTTGTAAATGTCACAATATGATTTTAACATACGAACCGTTACGCTGTAATGCAGCTTTGGCATGTTGCATGGGAGTTGGTCTATCATACACTGCTGTATTCGGTTTCACTTTCAAACCAACGTATCCAAAGCCCAGCGGATTGTCGATATCGCGGCTTCCTTGGGTCGGTGAGGATCTGTATTGCTTTCTTGTCTGCTGTTGTATTCTGGTGTGGTCCGGTCTGGTTAGGTAAGGCAGAGTTTTGTCTTCTGTGGCCGGGGCAAGGACATGCTGGTCATGTCCAGTGTAGTCTGGTCCGATCTTTGCATGCGTATCCTGATCTTGTTCAGTCTCATTGATGACATGTTTGTGTTTATATTTTTCGTTAAACTCTACCTCTGTTGGTAAAGTATTGTCCAAAGATGTTTCGACAGGCCCCATTCTGGTTTTGATTTCTGTTAGTTCTTGTACAAGACGGTCTATTTTTCTGTCTTTTTCTTCTAGCTCCGTCATATGTCTCATCACCACTGTCTCTAAAGTTAGCAGCCTGTTTTCTTGTCTGTCAATCTTCTGAATAAGGGTCCATATGGGGCTATCAAGGGGGTGTCTATTAAAAATGAAAAAAAATACATGTTTGGTATTGAGCGTCCATGCAAAAAAAAAATTCATACTTAAGGAATCGCCGATAAGAAAGAGTAGGGAAGAGAGAAAAGAAAAGATGAAGATTCAAAGTTTTGCAATGAGGGCAGCAGATTCGTTATGATTTCTACAACGATTAGGATACCGCAGGCCTACTTTTTCTCCAAACCATCAGGGTTAAACAAAAATCATCATCTGTTCTCGCATTATAGGTCATTTGTAGCCTCATACAAATTAAAAAATTCCACTTGAATTTATTTCCTAGCTTCTTTCATAAAAATGATATCGGTGAAATGGGGCTATGTTTCATGATGCAGTTTTCACTGCAGATGCGTTATGTCCAACTATATCGTTGCGATGCAGAAATAGCCAAAATACAGTGTTTCGCGACAGTTGCAGAAATGAAAACCTCGATATGAGACAATGAGCAGTTCCTTTCTCTGAATAAACAGAAGGTTGAAACTCGAGAAAGGTTACATATTACAACCAGTATGTTTGACTTCCCTACAGATTGTACCATATCACTTTTATCTTGCAAATGACCAGTGAAGTATGAGTACACAAAAATCAACAGGAAATACGAAACTCTCAACAAAACCATACTTCTAGCTCAAAATCAATTAAAGAATAGTAAAAGTATCAACAATGGAAGGACTTAGATGAAGAACCATTGAAAGATCAAGCGGAAGAACACAAGGTGCTCCGAAAGGTGCAACTCATGTTTGCAATATAACTTCGATTTAAATAGGATATAATATCATATGTATACTTAGTTGTCACTCCTGCAGGTCGGGGATCGGGAGGCGTCTACATGTTTGAACACTCTGCAGAATTGGTAATTAGCTTTTGTGCCCACTACTTGGGGGGACACAAAAGCGACGAAAATAAATCTGCTGCACCAATTGCAGATTTCGGGATATTCATATTTCTCTCTACTTTTTTTTTTTATTTCTTGGCAATACCTCACTTTTTGGTTATTTTATTTTCGTTCGCCCGCCCAGTTAACAAAGCAATGAGCTCTGTCCCCAGGCCGGGAAATACTTAAGTCCTTAACATGGAAGTTGTTATTCCCTGCTCAACGTTCAGGAATTAGGGGAAGGCAACCACTGATTCACCCGTTGTCGGTATAATGTGACCGGGCGGAATGCTGTGCTGGGTGCCTTCGGCATGGTATTTACAAGTAAGAAAGCACTATAAAGTCGGCATCAGATCAATGCTATCACAAGGGGGAAACTACTCCAAATTACTATCCTGTCTCTAGCACAATTGCAGATACGCACACATATACAAAACACTCATGTAGGCACGCCCTTAAATAAGGCGTACCAAATATCAATATGGTTGGTGCATGCGAAATTTGAAACTTTATCAACGCATTCTTCATTACGAATATACCAACTCCATGGAAATCCCTAACGAGGATGACAATGCCCCAAAACGCCCTGGACCTTTTAATGGTCAGTTGACTCTCTTGGCTTATACATAAAATTTACCGATTTCGAAAACTACATCATTTTTTGATGTTATAAGTGAACGCCTTGCTGTTTTCGTTCTAGAATTGCTCTTCCAGCTCTTACTGAGTTCAACAGAGTTGTACATCACCTACATCCATTTGTTCAGTGGTTTGGTTTCATTATCGTTTCTATTTGAAAACAATTTTAAAAGATCTTTCCTATGAAGTTCTGTGCGTTTTGGAATAGCCTTTCGTATCGAACTTATTTCACGTCAAATATTGAACTAAATAAGATGTGAGGAAATTATGCGTTCAAAACCAATCTTATTATTATTAATATTTTGAAGGGTATACATTACCTGTCGCCGTACACATACGTTTTTAGCAACGAGTCCAGGTCTGTTCCATATACCGTCATTGGCCATATAACGGTATACAGGACCACAAGCGCGTGAACTGACCACCGCAACATTGTCACGAAAACTGACTACTACTTAAACCAGTACAACGAATATATAAACGACTACACAAGGTGATGTTTTAACCTTTTAGACACGAACAGATTACAAAGTAGAATGTTATGACGTACTTGTCACCATTCACATGATTAGGAATCACGATTTTAGTTATGTATAGTAACGCCTATCTTTATTTTTCCATTCACAAAATCGGACTAAAATTGGTCAGGAAAGCCCGCCTCGTGCACGGAAGAACACGACAACAGATTTGTTAGTTGTTAACATACACCAAACGACCATATAAATTATTAAAAAAAAAAACATCAGCATTTCCTATTGTCTTCTTTCACCTGTTAAGATATTAGTTGGCTTTGTTTAATCTCTTTTCAAACGAAACAAACTGACCTTATTAGGATATAAAAATCTACCTTATTACGGCTTTATTTTAGACTCTTTTGGGAAGACCCCGGGTATACACCATCCTATACATATATATATGTATATGCATATGGAAACAAGCGTCTTAACACCTAATCAACAATGTCTTTTTATGTACTATACATATAAACTTCCTTGTAGGAATACTATTATTCATGTGACGTTAGCGCCTTAGAGTAATTTTGCAAACTATATGGACCGCCATATAAACGTTGTTTAATGTTGTTGGAAATTGTTTTTGTTGGCATCCTGTAAAGCAAGTCAGATTTGTTTGCTCGCATTTGATAAAAGTATCGTAAGTGGTTATATGGTCACAACAGCCATGATTGTGAAATATGTTCTTATTTGACATCAAAGTTTTACTTTCTTCACAAACACAATGGACGCATTGAATGTGTCGCAACGTTTCCAGACCGACTGGTCCCTTTGTCAAGCTATGACTGAGCGAGCGATTTGTCCTTTAGGGCAAATGCTCATCAAGAGCCACTGCGTTAACAAACATCAGGCGACAACCTCAGAATTAACATACGCAGACACTTAGTTTCTTTTTTTCAGTATTGTATCATGGGCTTATTTTCAAGTGCACTTAGGCAGAAAGCTGTTTACAGTTTGTTTTAATGTTATCAAGCTTACTATAGGCCCCAAAACAATTGTTAAGGAGATTTTCCGTTGACAAATATTAATTCTAATATATAGAATAACCTGGTGGTTACTTTAACAATGGCAAATTCATAGTTAGAGGAGAACTGTAATTTCCGCTTGAAATGAAAGACCTATTTTCAAGAACAGATTGTATTACATTATGAATATCACGAATATGAGTGTATTGCATCCGGTGTTTCTAGTGCTTAATTATGGCTGTGCTTGCATTATCTATGTGTTGTGAAGGTAGAGCAGACTAATGTGGACCCACTTGTAGAATCGGGGACTTTTTCTTCTGTTGTCTGCTAAGGGGACATCGAAGCAACCGAACATGATCTGCTGTCCCGAATGCTACACATGTGATCGATATATATTCCTTCCTTTCTTTCCTACCTACATCCTTCTTTTGGATGTTGTCTCCCTCGTTATAACATTAGCTGATAATCCCAAGTGTTGCAATGGAGTAGCAGATCAATATTCGTTTCAATGTAATTTAAGCGAAGAAATAAAAAGGCAGTCCTAAACAGTTGTCTCTTACATTCACACATACTGGGCAACGGCAGACCTAGTCTCCTCTGAACACTAAGATTTACGCTGCACTAATTGTAACTGAACACATTGTATTCTCAGTGTACAAGTACTAACGACTCAACACATTTAGTGGTGAATAATCGGCAACTAGTCCTGCAAGCACGTTACAAGATTTGATATAACAAAATAATCATTTTCTTAACACACATGTCATTTACTGGTTGGTTGCTTATTATAATCATGCTATAACAAACTATTTGTTTTTAAAATAAACGCCATCCGGAGAACGTGGACCTATTGTTTGTGTCACTGATCACCTGCCCTGTACTGTATGCAAGAATGTACACGTGGTCACCCTTGCTCACTGACGTCACGATGAGACCTGTGGCAGCTTCCCAGTTATGAGCATCGCTGTCTGCATCAGTAGCAGATCTCACCACTCCATTAACCATTAAATGTGTAGACATGCTACCTCCATTGTTGGTACCGCTCATTATAGTCCACGTAAATACGTACACGCCACTTGTGGGTATTTCGTAGATACCGTTGCCATGGTTGTAGCCATTTCCTTCGTCAAGCATGACGTCATCATACTTGATTATACTCTGTAAAACCACATTGGTGTTTGCACTCAGAGACAGGCTGAAGGCATAACCTATAGGAGACGTATTATCCACCCGTTCTGAAAGCAGAAACAACGTGTACTTAATTTGTTATCGAACAATTTAAACACTCTATGCAGCTTAAGAAAAATCTGAAAAATATACGGAGAAAACACTATACTTAGTACATGTGACACTCTTGTATTATTCCATTAACAGTAATTATTGAATGTGTATGTTGTGCTAGTTCACTTGTAAGTAAAGACGTTCGGTTGGGAGAATGTATATTTCAAGAACAAATATGACCTTTGTATACGTACTATTGTGTTGGTTCACGGTCAGAGATTGTCTTTTTTCAGTAGATCTTGCATTTTCGAATGATTTCAGGTTCGTATGCCTTCTCTCAAAAATCACATCCAACCCTGCTTTACCCAAAGGCAGAAATATGTTTCCATTCTCTCGGCGATGGTCGGCGATGCTGATGCTTTGTTTCTGTGAAGGTTTGTCAATTTGTGTCAAGTTGTGTGTAGCTATGCTATGTCTGTATTGGTTGAAGATATGCCGGTCATGTCCAGTTTGTATAGTTGCTGACCTGTCAGGATGGTTTTCTTCTAATATGCCGTCTGCATTTCTAGTTGTTTGTGAAGTATGAATTGGTTCTGCTCTCGATTTCGAATATTCCAATTCTCGTTCGAGATGATCTATTCTTCTGTCTTTCTCTACCAGTGCGATCGTATGTTTTGCGAGTTGAGTCTCCACAGTTTGCAATCTATCCTCTTGTTTGTTGATCTTCTCGATAAGAACAACGACCTGGTCAACGAGAGGGCTTCTGTAAAGAACATCCATATGTAATCGAATTACCCTTTATGTAGCTGAGGATATTTGTACAGTCGAACGTCGTTATCTCGATGTCGACGGGGGTCGTGGACAAATGTCGAGTTATCCGAGTATTCGAGTTATGCGGGTTCATAGATTTGGTATGAAATTTGCTGTTGGAACATAGCACTAGCAGTTGTTGGTTTTATTTATAGTTAATGTTTTTAATCAATCGATAAATGATATATGTAATCAATATAACAAATACAGCTATGTAATATTACAATAAACACGCTTACAAAAAAAGAGTAATTTCTTTTAGAAAAACGTACTTTCGTTTTTAAACGCGATAAAAACGGTTGGACTATTTTGTGAATTCGTTATTAAATATAGACTGGCCTAGTGATTAAATGTTGGTTTCGGCTAGTATTGATCTTGGCAAAGTCTTTCCAGGTCTGCATTTGAATTTGTAAGTCCGTCAAGTTTTACTTCTGAAGTGTTACATTTCAAACCGAACTATCCCGCTGTCTCTGATCTCGTAGTTTACAATGCGGAAATGAAAGTGCACAAATCTAAAACAAATCACTGTAGAGTACGCATAGTTGATTCTGTAAATGAAAACACACAAACAAATTATATCGTTCATGTGACACATTGATTCATTAAAGCCAAGTATGACACCTGACACCTCCTCAACTCGATGTAATCAACATCAATTATCGTTTTGTGCTTAAATCTCTCGATCGACTTTCAAAGCCATACTGGCTCCTGTTAAAACATGAACCCGTAAAGCTGTCCTAGGTTGTGATTTTAACTGTGGAACTCTTTTATGCATGACCACGCTTTGTGACCAATTTTCTGGTTTGCACTGTCGTCTGTTAAGGTGTACAAATCATTATACGGACTCGCAGTAAGTACAGATTACTGTTGATCAACATTGATGCAGTCTGTTTTTATTATGAATAACATGGTTTTGACAGACCGTAAACTTTACAGTCCTAAGCTTTATCGTAAATTCTTTTTTACCGATTTCATGCAAGTCTTCTCACAAAAGATGTTCATAATTTTGCGTTTTATTTGTATCAAAGATTTAACAAGTGACAAAATAAAATTCGAATACTACGTTGGATTAACGCTATTGAACCAATATTTTACTTCGAGGTATCCGAGTTTTTCGAGTTTTCAGGGTTTGAATTATCAGAGTTCTATTTATTAAGATAAAGAACAGATTTGACTGGGACCGGGGAAATACCTCGAGTTAAAAGAGTTCGAGATAACGAGGTTCGACTGTAGTTGATTCTGACCAAAGATATCTGGTCAATAGTTATTGGTGATACAATGTACATTTGTTATGTTTTTGTACATGCAATCATCATTTACTGATATTCCATCTTGTCGCATAATAGCATCATAGAACATTAAGCACAGGGCAGTAAGTACCTATTTTAACTGCTTTTGTTTGTCTCTGTCTAAATACAAAAGCCCATAACCTTATTCGCTTGAGCGAACGATCAACACTTACTCCACAGCTGAGGTTTGCAAAGTAAGAAATTAGAGAAATAAAGCAGTAGCAGTAGAAACTGTACATTTTATCATTCATTATATCTATGTAAGATGGGTTTCATGCTCAATATGTTATCGAGAATAAATAAAGCCTTTATTATTATTACATTTTTTATTATTAAGGTATAAACAAACATACCGATATCATCCAACATGTTGTAATTGGTGAAATTCCGTAATTTTATAGGGGGCTCCAATTATTAGTTGCCTCATAAAACATGCAATTGGTTAGATAAGGCATTTTCTTTTTTAATATCGGACCTACAGGGCTTTAGCGCCATGTGTCATGTCCATGTTTTGACATTTCATGGATATATCACTTTAAAGTTTGCCTTGAGTGTCACCATAATCGGTGGACACCGTTTTCAAATAAGATAAGGTGTGCGAGGACGTAAATTCCAAACAAAATATCGTGTGACACTTTAAACAATACATTAATAATAGGCTTCAATAAAAAATGACACATCAATTTTTTTTATACACTATACATCACCTGTCGCCGTCCACACCTTTTCCCAAAAACGGGCCTAGGTATGTTCCATTAACCATCCCTGGCCATATAACGGTAAACAGGACCACAAGTGCGTGAACTGACCACCGCATTATTGTCACATAAACTGACTACTACTTAGATCAGTACAACGAAAATTTGTCTGATCTTGTGTACTATACACGACTTCACAAGGTCATTCTCTAACCTTTTAGACACAGAACAGATTACAAAGTAGAATGTTATGACGTCATCGCCACCATTTGCACGATCTGGAATCACGATTTTGGTTATGTATAGTAGCGCATGTCTATTTCTTTTCTATTCACAATATCGGATAAAATTGGTCAGGACAGCCAACTTCATACACGGAAGAATACCATAACATGTTTCAAAGTTGGGAACATACACCAGACGACCAAATATATATTATTACAAATAGAAACATTGGTATTTCATTTTGTCTAAATTTCTTCCGCTTGTTAAAACATTATTTTCCATTCTTTTAATCTTTTTTCAAACGAAACAAACTTGACAAATTCAAGTTAAAAGATATACAACCCACCTTATTATGGCTGCATTATAGGCTTAGTTTTGCAGACGTCATTTACACGCTCCCTATATATAGATAAAGATATCAATATAGACTGGTTTTGGTGTTGGAGGAAAGCCGGAGTTCCCGGACAAAAACCACGAATCTACGGCCAGTACCTGGCGACTGCCCCACGTGGCTCTCGAACCTGCGACCCAGTGGTGGAGAGCTAGTAGTAGCAGAATGTCAGACGCCTTAACCACTCGGCCACTGTGGTCCCTTGAAAAGATGAACAAAATATGGAACGCCTCTCGAATTTGCGTGTCAAGTGGAGATACATAATTTGTTTCCTATTCATAATGAATCAGGCTGATTTGTAGTTTTTTTTATATAGTTTATATATAAATCATTATACATTTGTAGGAATACTATTTTTCTATTTTTTTTCTAAGCGCCTTAGCATATTTTGGCAAACTATACGGGACGCTATATAGAAGCTTTATATTATTAATTACGGCATCTTACGTAGCTTGGTTTGTTTTTATCGGGTTTAAAGCATATCAACAGCTATTTCTTATCTGCTTGTTTCTACCACAGAGAAACATATTATTACATATTTGAGTTATTTGGTTTTGTTTTGTTTAACGTCCTATTAAAAGCTAGGGTCATTTAAGGACAAAATCGTGCATGTGTGCCGCATATAGGGTATATTGGTGTATTTGCTTCCTTGGTTTAGCGCATTTGAGTGATTGGAAAACCGAAGGCCACAACAGCAAACTCCATACACAATCTTAGCGATTACAATACGCAATATTTCAATTTTACTCAAGTTGGAACTCAATGCAACTACCACATGTTACCTGTTTCACTTGCCGATGTAATCGACCAGATTAACATTGTTTGTGCATATGAATACATATCTTCAGATTTTGCTTAGGGAGCTAACTGTTGACATCTTTAAACAAAGACGATACCATATGCACATGGGTTTTTACATTTCTATTGTATCTATACAAAAAACTATCAATTAGCGAAATATTATCAGCTGTTGCCAGCGGTATTGACAAGTAATGTACTGCCCAAGAAATTCTCCCTTCAGCTACCCATTTTTCCTTTTGTGTAACTGTCAACCCCTAGTTTAAATTGAAAACAACGTGGATCACACATCCATGTTTTTTCATTTCACAAATATTTTATTGAATACTGCATCTCATACAAGTTTCAAAAGGAATTGGGCAACAGGCGTAATGCCTATACAAGCATCTACATCCATGTGGTCCTGTCATATATGAAATGCAGTCGAACAGCCAACTGCCATATCACATTATTTCACTCCATTGTGAGCTAGTGAAAGGGTGGCTGTTGTAGACTCGCAACTGAGTCTGCGCACCGCGTCCAGATATTATTCTTCCGCGATGACTCGTCAGAAAGGTTTAATATTCAAACTTATGAGTTCTAAAACAAAAATTAAGTATAACATTTAAAAAAAATGTTTTGTTTCTTCATCATTTTGCTGTATTGAACTATCAGCGTACACAATCATGTTGTATGATGGTACTTCAATGACGGACTATATTTTGTTTACACTACGTCAATAAGTAGACTTGCACAATATCCAGAACCTGGGACATACTATCAAAATAGACTTTTACAAGTTCAAATTATTGAGAAAAACCCCCATGTTGATTGAAATTCATGGTTTATATCTTGCTTTGGTCGATTTCATGGAATGATGAATTGAGTCAGTCTTGAAACAAATCAGCATGAACTGCAAAAGCAAGATTCAATCTTTATCTTAACCAGAAATGAAATTTGACTGCTTTTGAAAAATAGTAGAGAAAGAAAGATAAAAGTAGAGCACAAGTACTAAAACGGAGAGAGAAACTCAATCTCGGTTTCTTGATATTTAACAAAACAAAAGAAAATTCCTAGATTCATCAGTGTGCTCAATTTTTTCACCTTTCACGATAACGTGGAAACAACAGACCTATTATCTCCCGGAACACGCTGTGCGTATTATAGAGATCTACAATGCCAGCAACTTACCATACTGGTTCGAAATTGATGTATAAAGAATCATGTTTTAAATGTTTATACTTTATTGACAGATTTTAAATACAATCATATCATAGCACCTGTTATCGTATATTTCAAAATAAACGCCATCCAGAAAACGTTGACCTTCCACCTTCATAACTTAACATCGTTGCTGGAGACGCGGAGCGAACATACACGTGATCTCCCACGCTCACCGACGTCACAATGATACCTGTAGCAGATTCCCATTCGCTAGGACTACTGTCAGCAATTGTAGCCGATCTTAATACTCCGTTTACCATCAACCCCGTAGAGATACTTGTAGTAGGGTCGTCATCGCATGTGGTTGACCAGGTAAATACGTACACACCACTGACAGGAACTTCATATATACCGTTACCATGGTTGTAGCCATTAGCTGTGTCAAGCACGACATGATCATACTTGACTACTTCGTGCTGAGACACATGGGTGTTCACACTCAGAAAGAGGCTGAAGGCATACTCTCCCGGAGACGTGTTATCTACTCGTTCTAAAAGCAGAAAAAACTTTTTTTTTTCAGTTTTCAACGCCTTTAGTGTTTAGAAAGATCTACATAGATGAAGTCATTTGGGTCTGGAACTGGCATATTTGTATGATACACTGTAGTTTAGGAAAATTTAAAGATCTTATGAGAAAATATTATAAAAAAACACGTGGCACTATCGTATTATCTCATATATTTGAATTCATTGAAAAGAAAGGAAGTTTGGTTCGAAAATGATATTTTCCTACTTTTTCAAAGACGATTGTATCTTTTTTATACTTACTTTCTTGTTGCTTCACCGACTTGGTACGTGCGATTTCAGTAATTCTGTCATGTTCAATTGTTCCTGGGTTTCTAAGCTTTCTCTCAAAATTCACACCCAACCCTGCTGTTTCAAATGCCACCTGACTGTTTACATTGCTGAAGTCGTTGTGATTGTCGGACATGCGGGTCCTTTGGTCGCTTGCCGGTTTTTCATGTTTGGTCCCGTTGTGATTAGTGATTCTTCTTCGGTTCTGTTCTGAAAAACGCTGGTCTTTTCCCTTTTGATTAAATTCCGAGCGATCTTCAATTTTGTCTTGTGTTATTATGTCTTTTATTGTTTTTTGATACCCAGATGTATCGGTTGATGCTGCTTTCGATTTCCATTCAGCTAGTTCCTGCTCAAGATGTCCAATTCTTCTGTCTTTCTCTGCCAGTGCGACCGAATGTTTTGCCAGTTGAATCTCCACAGTTTGCAACCTGTCCTCTTGTTTGTCGATCTTCTCGATAAGCGCGGTGATCTGGTCAACGAAAGGACCTCTGCAAAGAACATATATGTGTCATTAACAGAAGCAAAGTCTGGTCAAAGAAATCTGCAAAACCAACTTTTGTTATTTTGCTATAGATTATTATATTTTGGTAAATGTGTATATCGTTGACGGACATTTAAAACACTGAAACGTTAAAAAAAGGCATCTATGAGAAACAATTTATAGACTTTGTTATATACGCTATACATCACCTATCGCCGTCCATATCTGTTTCCAACAACGGGCCTAGGTATGTTCCATTAACCGTCCCTGGCCATACAACGGTATACAGGACCACAAGCGCGTGAACTGACCACCACAACATTGTCACATAAACTGATTACTTCTAACATCTGTAGAACGACATTATATCTTATCTTGTGTTCTATACACGACTTCACAAGGTGATTTTTTAACCTTTTATACACGAGCAGATTACAAAATAGAATGTTATGACGTCACGATTCTGGTTATGTATAGTAACGCCTATCTTTGTTTTTCTTTTCGGACTTAAATTGGTCAGGAAAGCCTACCTCATACACGAAATAACACCACAACAGATTTGTTAGCTGTGAACATACACCAGACGACCATATATATTATTACAAAAAAAACATCAGCATTGTCTTATCTTCTTTCACCTGTTAAGATATAAGTTGTCTTTTATCTCTTTTCAAACGAAACAAACTGACCCTATTAGGATATTAAAATCTACCTTATTATAATTAGTTATTACGGCTATATTTTAGGCTCATTTGCGTTGACCCCAGGTATACACCATCCTATACATTTATATATATTGAAACAAGCGTCTTAATACCTAATCAACAATGCTGATGTGAATGTCTTTTTATGTACTATACATATAACATTCCTTTTCCTTTTCATGAGTTTTCAAGCTAGGAGTAATTTTGCAAATTTTAGGAACCGCTATATCAACGTTGTATATAATTGTTGGATATTATTAATTTTGACATTCTGTATAGGTTGTCAGTTGTTAAGTGGTAATATGGTCGCCACAAATTTGCGAAAAATGTAAATATTTCTTTAAATTATAAAATGCACCAATATTGTCTTCGGAAGCCAATATATTTAGAACTCTGCTGAATACATCTTTTTGTTAAATTTTGTTGGGCTCTGAACATGTGGGATTTGTTTGTTTTTGGAGGGTTAAGTATCCTCGCAACAGCCAATATCATATAAAGGGAGGTGTCATCAATATCACGAGAAAAAATGGACAAAGATTCCAACGGTAATAGAGGCGACAGCAGATTTTTGTTTGTATCTCCAAAGTCTTTTAAATCTCTCCGTGTGGCAACTCCGTCCATGACAAACTTTTGTTTACGGGTTTTTCATTTTTGGTCCCGTTGTGATTATTGACGCTTCTTTAGTTCGGTCCTAAATACGCTAGTCTATGCCAGACTGATTAGCTTTCGATTCATGTTGATTGTTTTTTACCTATATTTCTGCCTTTAAATGTGTTTGTTTGCGACATTGTATGGGATGGTGCCACGCTCTCGATTTCATAACTGCTACTTCACATTACTCAGTCTTTCTCTGCAAGATCGCGACGATTATTACAGGAGGACATTTTCAACTAATTATTCCCTTGCAGGGCAAATGGTCATCAATAACTACTACGATAACAGACATAAGCGACTACCTTATAATTTTGATAATCAGAAACTTCAACACTTTTTGACATTAACTGGTGAATAATTGGCAACTAATTCTGGAAGCTTGTCATAGCATTGACATAAACGAAGAAACAATTTTCTTAACACGAATGTACACGTGATCGCCCGTGCTTACTGACGTCACAATGAAACCTGTGGCAGCTTCCCAGTTATGAGCATCGCTGTCTGCATTAGTAGCAGATATTGCCACTCCATTAACAAATAACTGTCTTGTCATGTTACCTCCATGGTTGTCACCGCTCCTTATAGTCCACGTAAATACGTATACGCCACTGGCGGGTACTTCGTAGATACCGTTGCCATGATTGTAGCCATTTCCTGCGTCAAGCATGACGTCATCATACTTGATTATGGTCTGTAAAACCACATTGGTGATTGCACTCAGAGACAGGCTGAAGGCAAAACCTTCAGGAGGCGTAGTATCAACCCGTTCTGAAAGCAGAAACAAAGTGTGTTAAATCTTTTATCTAAGCTTTTTAACGCTTTTATTGAGTTTAAGAAAAATCTGAAAAAAAACCCTGGAGATTACATACTACTAAGTTAATGTGACACTCTTGTATTCCTCCATTAACAGTAATTATTGAACGTGTATGTGGTGCTAGTTCACTTAACAATAAAGACGTTTGGTTAGAAGAATGTATACTTCCTACATGTTCAAGAACAAATATGACCTTTGTATACGTACTATGGTGTTGGTTCACGGTCAGAGATTGTCCTTTGTCAGTAGATCTTGCATTTTTGAATGATTTCAGGTTCTTATGCCTTCTCTCAAAAATCACATCCAACCCTGCTTTTACCCAAAGGCAGAAATGTGTTTCCACTCTCTCTGCGATGGTCAGCGATGCTTATGCTTTGTTTCTGTGAAGGTTTGTCAATTTGTATCAAGCTTTGTGAAGCTAAGCTATGTCTGTCCTAGTTGAAGATATGCTGGTCATGTTCAGTTTGTATAGTTGCTAACTTGTCAGGATGATTTTCTTCTAATATGCCGTCTGCATATCTAGTTGTATGGGATGGTGCCGTTCTCGATTGTATATCTGCTAGTTCCTGCTCAAGATAATCAATTCTTCTGTCTTTCTGTGCCAGTGCGACATTTTTTTTTGCCAGTAACGTCTTCACAGTTTGCAACCTGTCGTCTTGTTTGTTTATTTTCTCGATAAGCGCGGTGATCTGGTTACCGAAGGGGTGACTGCAAATGATATGACCATGTTTATTATATATGATTATTTTTATCTTATCATGTGTCCTATATACGACCACGTTCGTGGCTCTGTTTAAAGTTTGTTTACACGAATATTATAAAAAGTGCAACACAGGGATTACGCAGAGGATCGGTCATTAAATGGAGGTTCCACACCCGTTCACAGTTTTTGTAGCTCAAGTAACAGTTCATTTTCAAATTCAATAAAGACACGAAATTTACCTTAACTAACGGGAGTTAGATTAATATGATAATGAACCCTCACGAGTTTGTGGATCTTTTTCTTCCTTGATATTCAGAACTCATATCTAGCCAACCATATGTTTCTCTTGGGAAAGCATTATTCCTTTTATCCTATCGGGAATTTGGTTTTTATTGTTTAACGTCCTATTAACACCTAAGGTAATTTAATGACGTACCACCATGTGTGTTTGTATGCTTATGACAGGGTATGTTGGTATACTTACCTCCTTGTAATTGCGCGGATCTGATGCCGACTTTAAAGTGCTATCTCACTGAAATACCATGACGAAGGAGAACGATTGTTATGAACTATGACGTCTTAATTGGAGGATTGAAAAAAATGTAAAGGGTGTAACTAAACTGTTTATCAACTCCTAGCAGCAGGCTTATCTATTGTGTCGGGAGTACGAAACCTATAGTGGTGGTGGGAGAAATCATCTTCATGAGCTATTATTATAAAATTGTAAGATAGTCGCTTCTAAAGAGATCTTGATCATGGTCGACTACAAGTCTTCACTAGCATTTACTATAACTGATTTACCAACTCATTGCATACGATGCTGATCTAACCTGAAGTGTACTTCTGTCAATCTGTTTTGGTTTATGTTATGTGTTACGTCCTATGAACAACTGTGGTCATTTCAGGATTTGGTGGTGGAGGAAAGCCAGAGTGCTCGGGGAAAAACACCGACCTGTTGTCAGTACCTGGCAACTACCCCATGAAGGCTTAAAATCCTTGATCCAGTGGAGGAGGGCTAGTGACCATAGATGGTCAGACACCTTTTCAACTTGGCCACCACGACTCCTCTGCCATTCTGTCGGATATTCCTCAAGTCTATAATTCTTTTTTTAAACAAAGGCACCTATCACATCTTACTTCAACCTTATACTACATTTGTCTTTTGGCCTTTACTTGTGAAAGTCGTGTTTTAACGCCTGGTTTCATTTTTTTACGCATGAAATCACCCTTTTAAACTTGTGATCCCCATTTCTGATATCGATCTCGTTTTCACTGTATTCGTACATAACGTTCTATCACTTCTTCCCTTCTTTGTTTTCATCTCTTTAGTAATATAAGATTTAGGCCAATTATTTTTATGTCGTTATCACTATTTCCTCGGTGTTAAACTTGCAAATTGTGCAATTATTTGACCATTACAGACTTTTTGCACGTCTTCACAAAAGTTTCCAGGTATGTGCCGCATTACTTTGCAAAACGTGTTTGCTTCACAATAGATGAATGAAAATGTTTATATAATGTTAATTTCAAACCATCTCTCTTAAGACGACTCAGCGCATTTTTTCGACAACAATAAAAGCTCGCAAAAATGGCTTGTTTCACAATAGATGGAGAAAATGCATACGTGATTTCCAACCATCTCCCTTTCGACGACTTCGCACATAATTTTGCAAAAATGAAAAAAACAACTCACAGAAGCTCTCTGTTTCACAATAGCGGATGATAATGTATATGTGATGAGAATTTTCAACTATCGCTCAATAGACGCCTCAGATTTAAGCAGTAAAAAAGTTATGTGCCATTACCGTTTGATACATTTAGGAGAATACAGCATATTCATTTTCATTACTTTAGTATCATATTAAACCAATCCCCGCTGCTGGTAATTTTTAATGACCGTTACTAGGATATCTGAATGCCATTGTTTTTACATGTAGCAAAACTAGTTTATGTAAGAAGCGAAACAAAAACCCAATTCAGAATCGGGAATGATATTCTGAATCCTCTGCTCAAGAGTCATTGTTGAAACCATTATTGACAATTTTTCGTCTGAATGATGTTCTATTCTTCATGTATTTCGGGGTGTCTGGCCTTATGCACATCTGGTACATTTTGCGTCAGAACAATGTGATCGGGAGGAATGTTCTGCTACAGTGTCCTTGCTTCAATATAATATTGATGTGACACTTTGAGTATCCCAATAACACATGAACACCTGCGTCAGACATGTAGCTGTTGCAGTGACCGACACAAAGTCCTGAACAAACGAATACACAGGACCGGAGAACATAATAGCGGCTCATGATAATTAAACGTTGTCTTGAATATATTAATTTTTCATTTAATCGAAAAGGTTGGCGGTTTAATTAATTTAGATCCATTTACGTATTCATACAGTTTTTGCGACCATCTATTTTACGAGACCACTTTTGATACCTTCCTTGGGTGGTCGTTTAATACGGATTTAGCTGTGCATTGTTTTCTTGTGAACTCG